GGAGTGGTCCAGATGAACCAACTCCCAGAAGAAAGACCTTCTCTGCCTCTGGATCTCTTCAGATTTGTTCTTTTCTGGGTTATGTTAATGATTCTTTGTTGATTACGCTTTTTTTTTGTTTTGTTTTTGATCCAGTAGATCTGAGACTGGAACAAGACACTACATCTCTGTCATGTTGATGTAAAATGTTCAAAATAAAGTGTTAAATTTGACTTGGTTGCACTGTCTTTACTCCCCTATTTCTTTGAAACTTAAGTCTGAGGAATTCACAAAGACAAAATGTTAACCTGTTTCTCCTCAAACTAAATGCTTAGACACTGACCTCAGTGTTGGTGACCTCAGCTGTTGTAGATGTAAACTGTTGATCTGAGTCTTGTGAGGTTTGGATAACTGAAACTTAAACCAAACCATCTATTCTTTCATGGCTCTTATTTCTACAGCTTAGATTTAAGTTTTTTCACATTTGTCATGTGTTGGGATAAAACAATCCCAAGTTTCCCTTTGTTTGTAGTTGACTTCTGTTTAATTTGTAACAAGTTTAAATTTAAAACATCACAAAATGAGAGTTTTACTTCACAAGAGTATCCTTTGTCTGTGAGAACTCTTAGGCATTTCAACCCCACCCCCATACACAGCCTCAGTTCTGCCCCTAATTGACAATCAAGGATCATCAGAAATGCAATTAAAATAATCACAAACATGTATTGTTAGTATCCAGTTTATTTTAGAATTTTTTAAATGTTACAGAAACACAACACTACAGACTGGCCACACGAGGCAGCGTTAACATTTGTCAACGGTAAACAGTTGGCACAAATCACTGGGGTCAATAAAGGAGGCATCAAAACTGTAGCAATAACACAAAAAAAATACAAATACATGTTGGTAACCAGGCACACAAACAGGGTTTACAACCATTCAGTTTGTAACCAGCTTGTTGTTGTAGTAAAGTTAGTCAGCGTTTTCCTCAATAAGCCACTGTCACTTTCTTCACAGCTTGTTGTTGTAGTAAAGTTAGTCAGCATGTTTTCCTCAATAAGCCACTGTCACAAAAAAAAAGTCACACTTTACAACTAAACACACAACACATTTTTTGGCATTTAATGATTGTCTAGGAGTGTGTCCAGTCTTGTTAGACTTTAGTCTGTTTCATCAATCATGAACTTTGATCTAAAGCTGTAGTGACTGAGCCTCATGATCCACATTAGCTTTCAGTAACAACTTAATTCTATATTAATATTAAGTTGAATTTATCAAATACAATGAGTACACAATTCACCATTGTGGCCAAAAATGTAAGCAAAAAATGACTTAACTACTGGTACTGTGCTCATAGATTTGTCTGAGTGATTCTGTCACATTTCAATTACATTACATTGTTTGTAGGTAAATGCAGCAATAATAAAAAAAAAAAGAATCTTACTGTAATAAAAGGAAAAAGCAGGCTGAGCAGAGAACTGGCATGAACTGCACGACCCACTGTTTGAGAATCACAGAACTAAAGGGTCAGTTTATAATTATAATCAAATGTCTTTTTCTTGAGTCTAAAACCTGTTAAGTGTTAATCACTCAGTCATGGCAGTCTGATAAGTAAAAATTCACATATGAAAACTGCAACTGAATTTCATTATTCAGTCTCTGCGGCACCACCTGCTGTTTCTGGTACTTTTTTTTTTTTAATTGTGGCTAGGAAAATGGAAAGAACCTTCACAAAGGTTAGAAGCAGAAGAAACTTGGTCATCATTTTTAAAACCTTCTCCCGTCAGGCACTTGTGTGTCAATAACTGTGCCTTCACTTAGCCTTCAGTCCCTGGAACCTTCCAGAGGAGCAGAATGAAAATGCTGTCTAAGAACACCTGCAGTCACTGCCGAGGCACTACTGAAAGTAAGGGGTGAAGATGAATATAAAAACATAAAAAGGAACCTGGTCTGTCTACAGCAGTGTGTGGGCCTAATGAACAAGCAGTGATGTTTGTACTGATGAAAGATGGCCAATCATATTCATCCTAATGACAAGTACTGAAAAAACCTGTCAGCCACCAAAAAGGAAGGTCCTGCTCTGGGTTTTATTGTCTTCTGTATATTGGAAGAGAAGAAATACTTCATGAGAACAGTTTAGTGTAGGTTCTCATAATTTCAAATATTTCTGAGCTTACCATACGGATTTGCTGAGATGGAGGTAGTGTGTAGTGAAGAAAGAAGTTCGAGCTAGGACCATATTTAATAGATTGTGTGGCTAACAAAGGCAGCATGTGTGTAACATAATGTATCAATTACGGTATTGTACATTGAGAACATTAGAGAACACTTACAGATACACTGGAAGAACAGGTAAACTCTATACACAGACCATCAGTTATCACCAGGGATTGAACCAGCAGTATATAAACCACTATTCAACTATTTGGCCTAAAGTAAAATGTTAAATAAGCTGAACTAAAAATATCTTTCCAGTGTAGTTAGCAAATGCTAACAAGACTTTAAACCAAAGAAACAAGTGATGTCAGGAGTAATACCCTGGGCAGTTGATCACTAAGTGTGAGTGCTAACCCTCTGCTTTATCTCTATGTACTGTTGCTATCTGACCAAAAAGAAGCCACAAAAAAACCTAAAAGAGGAACTTCGATGAACTGGTGAAAATTAAACCACTTGAACACTCAGTTGAAATACCGACAGTAAATGGAAGACATCTGTCTGATGACTATAGGACTGTGTGAATGTCTTTGTCAACCAGCAGTGACACACAATATGATGGTGACCATATACTGTTCATCACCCATAGAATGGTGTTCATCACATTATGTCTATAAAAATACATAGGCTTCAACCTGTCAACTATTATGGGACAGTGTAAACATAACAAACAGCAGAGCTGCTGTATCAGATTACATTAGGCTGCCACTGTGGTCACACCCTGGGGTTCTACGGGACAGCATATTTTGATACGCTCAACTTGTACTGGAACATTCATAAATGAAGTTTTTTTTTCATCTGTACAGAAATGTGGAGCAGCACAACTGTCAATTGTAACTGGAGACTGTACATAAGAAATGGATGTAGCTGTGAAGTCATTCTATCAGCTGTTTTGGCCAGGATTAAAAAAAAAGTTAACTTCCTGATGCCAGTGCAGAAGATTAAAGGTTCATTAAACATGAATTTGAAATGTAATTCCCTGGATGGGACATTCAATGGAAAATTGCTAGTCTTGAAAACTAAATGTATAACTTGTTTCTGTGAAGTGAAGAAGCAGCACATATAAATTACACAAAGAGATATGCCTGTGGGGGGACAGAGGGGTGAAAGGGCAAAAATGTCATGCTTGTTACCAACAATAATCCAAACTTTCTGCGTTCTCTGTTCAACTGAGAGTTAAGGTACATTTCCAATTAAAGTTTATGAGACTGATGTACTAATGTTAGGGGGTTTTAAACATCAACAACTCAAAACCAAATCTAAAACTGATGTTAAAGCTAATAGGGAAAAGAAAAGAGTGGCAACCTGCATTGCATTAGTGGGTGTCTGTGTTCAGCAAACACATAAAGGCAGTTGAGAGTCATCGGTTTGTGAGAGTGAACCTCTGAACTCTTTGATAAATATTCACACATTCAGGCCTGATCTGCCCTATGTCTGCCCTATGTGCACACATAAAACTAATGAGCATATTGCCTGTGGATGTCCACCACACCACACCACACCACTGTGTGAGGTACCACCACATATAATGCGCCTACACAGGCTGTGTACCTACATCCCTTGTTTCACATAAAGTGAGAGAATATCTAAATAATACCCAATCATCCTGAGCCAGTGTGTTTGCTACTGTCCAGCTGCAGACTCCCTCTTTCAATTCACTTCTTCTTTGTTGGTCCTCAGAGAGCTGTGGAGGATAATCTGGTACCGTTCCTGTGTGCCACTCTGAATCAACACTACCGTCCCGTGTGGACCATCTCGTGCAGCTTCCTCAGGAGGATCTGAGTGAGGTCAAATGTGGTGAAGCTGATCCCGACCGCAACGGGCCCTTTCACCCAGTTCATACTGAGACCTTTGTACAGTCCACGGATGACGCCCTCCTCAGACACTATCTCCTTCATCGTGCCCAGGATGGTGCCGTACGTGTGGCCTGTGACCCCTGCTGTCTGCATGCGACGCCGCACCACGTCCAGAGGGTAAGATGCCGACTGGCCAATGAGACCCGCACATGCGCCAAATATCAGTCGTTCATACGAGTAGGGTTGTTGGCGACCGCTGCGTTCTACATGAGGGAAAGGGTTGTTACAGCATGAAATTATAAAATTTAACTGCAACAGTAGCCAAGAAATACTTTTAGAAATGGCAGCAGTGGACCATTACCAGCGTGGTGTTTCTTCAGGGTTTCGTAGGTGAAGAAGCTGAGACCAGCGTAGGGGATGACACCCAGTATGGTGGGTGCAAAGCCCCGGTACAAAGTCTTCCGACCCTCTTCTCGAGAGATTCTCCCAAACACATGCAGAATGTTACTGTACCTTTAAGAAGAAAATAGGTGTAAATCTGTAACTCTTAAAAATGACCGTATGAGCTTCTCCAATATAATTGGTTCTCAAATAAAGGTTATTTGAAATTTAACTATAACATGAAAAAAAAAAAATTCATTACAGTAGTTCTAACGGGCTCTAACAATAAGATGATCTTACATTTCCTTTGGGGTTACAGCCATTCTCGCTCGCACCATGTCCAGTGGATACGTCAGTATGGACGCCGTTAGTCCAGCCATAGATCCAGCCAGGAATCGTGGGAATGGAGGCAGAGCTCTGACACAGCAAAATGACCCAGTTAAAATACATCATACCTCAGCCTCACAGTCTAAAACTAAAGATTATTTTTGACATTTATATTCATATAATTAATATGTAAGAATCTGACTCTGTTACTTGGCTACTCCTCCTGTTGTTGTAGATTTATTACAATGACACTATGTGTTAATTACGGTATTCAGGCTGGTTTTGAAGGAAAAGGTGAAAGCAAAAAAAATGGTCAACATGTTGACTGAACTAAGGTATTTTAAATACATTGTTCCAGAAGGATGCTAACACACAAGTGATAATGTCATAGCACACACTGCAGGTTTAGGATTGTGACACATGAAACCCGTGATGTCATGAATGGAAATAGTCAGCCCTGATGCTGGCTGCCTAACTGAGTCATGAAACATCTGCTATCATATTATGAAAATAAAACAACACTTACTGAGGCCAAAAGTGAACCCAGCCATATAAGGAGACACTTACTTGCCCTCAAAGCCATAGTAGCTTCCCAGCAGCCTCTTGTACTGCTCATGTGCACAGAATTGAAATGCAGCGAATGGTATGACTCGCACCATGGTGGCAGAGTTTCCTCTCCACAAACTGAGGAGGCCATCTTTCCGGTAGGTATGGTATATCAACTTGTATGCCTCCTGTGGTTTAATACAAACATACAACTTGTTCTCATACTCAGTTGCCACTGACAACAACAGCAATGCAATAAGACCAAATTAATATCGGTCGTCAAAATAAACAATGGTTCAATGCTCTTAAGGACAAACTCACCTTTGCAGAGAATCGGGCTGAGGACACTGTATAAAAACACACAAAGGATATTTACGTATAAGATGGTGCATCAAAGTATTACTGTCTTTTCTTGTATAAACCCCAAACTTACATATACAATGAACATTATCAGTTACAAGAAGCTGTTTATGTAAAGCACAGCTCCACTCAGCAACTAGTTCCCATGGGAAATTTCTTAATACTTTCTTAATACATTTATGGGAGATGGAGATGCAAGCCCAAAACACCATAGGTTGAGGACTAAAGACCATCCAACACACCTTGGAAAATGATTTTAGTCCTGTCCAGTGGGGCCACCGCTGTTTTAGCCACAGCTCCAGCTAAAGCTCCTGAGACGAGTGAGTTGAGGACAGACCGAGTCTGCATCAGTTCCTGCAGCGATAAAAGAACCACATCTAGGTCAATGGGACCAAGAGTGGAGAGCCACTAAAAAAACTTAAATAATCATAGTGTTGTTTGTCTGGTGGTCTAACTAAGATGTTTGTTCTTTACACATGCAAAATCACAAATTTAACATTTAATTCTAAAACAGTTTTACAATATATTGTCTTCTGTTGTCTCACAGCTGCCTGTGGAGACGAAGTCAGCGGCAGCACCTGTCCCTGTGTGATCGATGCTCGTTGTTCCTGGACTCCATTCCCCATTCCCAAGGACTATATACTGACAGAGCTCATCAAGTCCACCACTAGAGGACAGCAACACGGGGTCCTGAATGGTGTTGAAAAGAAGGCAGAAAAAGACAAAAGGTTGTGGCTTTAATATAAAAGACTGCATTTTAATTCTCTGCAAACTGAATCAGTGTCACTGACTTTCAAACAACCCTGGTCAAAACACACACACACACCTACAGCAATTGGTAACTTATAATCCAAATACTTTTGGCCTACTTCTGCTCTTTTGTAGAAGAACTTAAGAAAACAAGCCCATCCCTTGTTAGCACAACTGATAAGTGTTAATGCATCTGTCATCTTTGCACAAACCTAACAATCTTACTCATGTGTAGTCAAATAAAAAACAGGATCAACTTGTCTGCACTAGGTAAACTGTTTTATTAGAGAAAAACATTGCCATAAGATTAAGTTCTATAGGGCTATAATGTGGGATACAAACAAAGTCTCTCTGTGTGTCAGGCCTTCTAGAACACTGGCTAATATGAGTGTTCAGATTAGGGGAGAAGCCATTGAGAGTTGAAGAAGTAATCTGGGGTCTGCTGAATATCCAGTAGTCATGGGCAACAAATGCTGGCACTCATACAAGAGGGCTATGAGCCAGATCCTTAAATAAGTCCTCTGATATGTCCCGTTTAACCTACCACTGTCCTTACCCTCAGGCCTTCTACCCCTCTCCCTGCAGCCTCCTTGTGTATGCATATCATTTTACAGTTCCTTGTTTCTGTCCACTTGCTATGTCAAGAGCAAGTGGACTGCATGGCTTGTTGAAATGCATTGCAATGCTAGCATTTAAAAGGTACACAACGGAGGGGAGGTTGCTTGCTGAGCTGTGTTCACAATGAGTATGCATTACTAACTGGTTTTCTCTGCTTGGTTATAAAGTGGTAATTAGTCTGTATGCAGAGGAGGAGTCTGGTTATATTAATCAAAGTCTTGTCATTGAGAATTATTACCTCTTGACCATCAGACATACATCACAATAAAGTACCTTTTATCAATATGTGTTTTGATACAATTAGGATTGCAGAGACATTATTGCTGATGACATTTTCTCTAAGAACAATGACGTCTCTGACACACACTGGGGTGTGCTTGACAACAATCTGACATTTGTATAGGATTTTTTATATTGTTGTTTGTCAAAACGTAACTTAAGCCACGGAATATTACAACAAACATGATAGCAATACATTTCCGACTGTGTAATCGTAACCGTTAGAATGACAGTAGCCCCTGTCGGTCACTACCAATACATAACCACCTCCCCCGAAGAAACTTTAACACAAACACAAACTAAGACCCAAACTCAGAGGACAGATAGCTGACACTTCTTACCTCACACGTCAAAAGGCAGCAGCAGGAGCAGCAGCTATATTTTATTTACCGGCGCTTTAAAAAAAATCCTCAGCTGTCGAATATTTTTCTTTCCAGAAGTTAGCAGGATACGTAGCTTTAGCTCGTCGTTAGCATGTGGCTACACTACTAGTACTGTAAGTGCATCTATGTGTGTGTTCTAACGCTATGGCTGACTTAGTTCTTCAGAAAACAAATGTCTGCTGTGTTTAAGGGTATCGAGAGATAAACATCCAATAGCTTCATTAACCCTGCAGTGACTCAAGATGACCGATAGAGTAGTGTACAAATTCAATGACTGCAGCTGTCACAGAGCAGACCTACTACTACTGCTGAACTGCACGGAGGGTTGATAAGGACGAGTGAGGCTGTATTGTGGGAAATGTAGTAAGAGGAGGTGTGTTTTGACTTTGATCAGTGATAGGTCAGTTAAGAGGGCGTCGAAAGATCACGCCCTCATCTTGAGATTAAGTAAAATTTTAAGTATTTCTCCACCCTCGAATAACTAGGAATATTTTAATATAAATATGATTATTATTACTAGACGTAGGAGTAGTCTATAGTTGAAATAATTAACAAGTTTGGGCTGAGGCAAAGTACTTCATTCACTATAGTTATATAGTAATAACTATAAAAATATAAAAATAGTAAGAATATTGTATTAGAAGTAGTAGTAACTGTTAGTAATTAGGTAGTTCTCTCGGTGTCGTCAATCAGCAGGTTATCTGGCGGGAAGATTTAGTATAAAAGGAGCATCCTAAAAGGCAATGACAGCATTTTAATGTTTAATATGTTATATTACTAAAATTTTGAGGACTGTAATATGGAGACACACTCAAGACAAATGTAACATTAGGAGTTTTGACACAGTTATACAGATGTTTTGACTGAGGTCGGTCTACATTTCTGGTGTAAAGTCTTGGAAAAAGAAAAAAAAATACAGAAATGTTTTATCATTGTAAACATACTGTACACAGTAAGGTATTTGACATCTGTTGAAACATAATTACTATTCCATGGCACATTATTTCCAATTAACTGTTGTTGTTGTTATTCCAAAAATATTACAAGATTATTTATATTTGTGTTCAAACTTGACTGTTATGTTGACCTTTTTATAACTTGTACTGATGACAGTTTAAAAACAGAACCATAGAATGACATCTCCACCAACATTTGCTTAATTTGCTAGAGAGCATGTACTGTTGTATCTGTTTGGCACTGGTTTTAAACTAACGAGTCTGAACACAGAATCAATTGCATTGTCTTAATGAGCCCAGTGTACTTATTTATTGTTTTTGTCCCACTTCCTCTGAACTAGTTTGTTTTAAATTAAATTGGATCATAGGCCTCACTAAATATAAAATAAATTCTGAAATTTAAGGCAGTAGTGTTATTCTTGTACAGCACAATCATTTTGATTTTCTTTTGGTATTTAACTTCACCTTCAAATCCAAATGGAGACCAGAGAATAATTATAATGAGAAATATTTAATAACAGGAATACATTTATCTATATTTTTCCAAATAAGATACTCACAAGCTCCTCAAAAACAACAGATCGTGAGTATCTTAAACAACTACTTAGAATAATGTGCAGAGAACATGATGTCCACTGATGCTATTTCTCTGCCATCAATAGGTAAGATTGCCACGTTTGCCAGTCCATAGCTCACGAAGCTCCACCTGACATCCCAGATCTCTGAGAGCAGCCTTACAGACATCCCCACAGTCCTGATGGGTCTGTATAGCCTGAGTGATCAGTGCTTCTGCTCCCATCTCCAGGATCAGTTGGTTGTATTCATGTGTACGTGAAACCAGATTCCTGATCAACATACAAGCCTGTTTCTGATGGGAAGAATAAGGCATACACAGGAAGGAAGAGCTAGTTTATCATCAAGGGGATTTGGATTGAATTAAACTAATTAATTATTGATGGCAGCATACAGTATTACCTGTACATTGACCACATTTGTGTGTGTCTTCATGGACTGCACTGCAGCCAGGGCACCACTGTTCTCCATGATGACTTTGCAGTTGTTGGGTTTACGCAAAGCAAGGACCGAGAGGCAAGCACAGCCCTCTGCACACACCTGCAGAGGCACATATGCACAATTGGATGATGAGATGTGGATACTATTTTATCCACAGCAAATATATACAGTATTGCCAGTGTAGATGCTAATGTTGCTAACTTTCAGCTACATATGCTGTATGTTAAAGCCATTCTTTAAACAACTGTGACTGACTGCTATCTTTGTCTACAATAATTGAAATTGCTATTGCTAACTATAATATTGTTTATTTATTTGATGGTAACTTTCTTATTATAATAAAAAAACTCACAGCAGAGTTACTGATGTGTCTGTTCATGGCAATGACAATTAGCTGGACTCCACCGGCGTTCACTACAGCATCTTTTACATCATCATTTCCTGCCACTGCTCGTATTGCATTCAGGACCTGACGAACCAACTCCTGTAAAAGAAAAAACAGTTCAGCCAAGCAGAACAGAGGCTAATAGTTTCTGATCTGTTTGTGTTTTTGTAAATCACCGCTGTCTCGTAGCTCTCTGAGAGCAACGTCACCATAAACTTTAATCCTCCCAGGTCACAAATGTCCTGACAGAACTCATTCCTTACAGCAAGGCGAGCCAAAGTTGCACAAAGTTCACTCAGGACAGAAGTATTAGTTTGGTGAGCTGCAACAAAAGAACAGAATCCATTTTTTAGTTGAATTTTGACAAGAAATTTAATAATTTTTATTATAATACCTTTTGCAGCTTCAATCAGGACTTTCAGCGCATTATTCTCAAGGACGATCATCTTAGCGTGTTCGTGAGCATGTCCAAATGTAGCCCTGACATCATCATCAAATGTCATGACTCTGAGAGCTGCAGAAACCTCCTTTACTACCTCTGCACACTGAACGTGTCGTTTGACAGCAGTGGTCAACAGGGGCAGGACTCCTCCTTTGACTAAATCCTGCCTGTTCTGTTCATGTTTAAGGCAGCAGTGACGTACAACGAGAACAGCTGCACGCATCACCAAAGAGTCTTCCTGGTACTTCTTGAGAACATCCAAGAGAAACTGCTGACCTTTGGCATCCAAAAGGTCTGGCTGTCCGTCAGTCAGTGCAGCCAGAGCACGCAGAGCAGGCAGTGCAGTGTCCTTATCCTCCACACACTTTTTGCAGTAGGAGAGGATGAGGGGATATGCATCTTTTTGAGCTGCCAGGTAACGCTGTGCAAATCCAAGTGAGCACTGCTCTGTGAAGCGTTGGATGTCTGTTACGTGTTCCGTGATACTGTCAGAGTCTTGTCCCAGTCTCAAGGAATCCAAAGCCTGTGACAATTACGTGAACAGTGTTCCACAATCAAAAACATAACACTGAAGAGATTATTTCACATTTCAGAGAGCAGTCCAGGACTTACCTGTAAAACCTCATGTGTTTGCTCCTCTTCTTTATCATCGGAAGATGCGGCTGGTATAGCTTTTACTATACAGGTGAGATCCACGCCTGCAACCAAACCAGTGATGGAGTTTTAATTAAAGTTTTCTTCACTGTGACCTACAGTGACCAAGCGCAACGTGCTCACACATTTTAATTTTAATAATCTCACACATTTTAATTGTTGTCCTGCATTCTAATATGCACTTGTAAGGGTCTGAGGGGCCCAATGCCAAAAGACCATTTTGCTGCTTAAAACAATGTTATAATCAACGTCAAAAAGAGCTGCCAGTGTCAGAATGATAGATGATATATAGTAGTTCCACCAGAATTTACCTTGAGACTCAAACTGCTCCACAGCTTCCCCCAAAGCCTCGTCAGGCTCCATGTCAAACTCCTCCATGTTCTCCCTGACGGCAGCATCGAACGTTTCCTGAGTGATCCTACGTGTAGACATCTTGTCTCCAACACTGTACACGTTGTGAGACAAAAACTGAATCAGAAACACTCATCAGACACTGTAGCTATGACAGTCTGATATTAGCAAGCTAACTAATGTTCTATTACTGCCGTTGCTATCATCGCCGCATACTGTTACAACGCTCGGGTAACAAAAAGCTCTTAAAATAAAAAATACGTGATGTTAGAGAATTCTGTCAAACCCAGCATTTTCTTACCTGATATCACCGCCCAGACCGCACCAGTTTATTGATTGAAAGCAGTGTTGCGCTTCTTCTCGGTGTCAGGACGAGCTGCTTACCCGCGCGTTCACGCCGTCCTCTATTGTATTACCCTGTAGGTGTTTTATCACATTCGGCATCTGTAATGTGGCATTGCCCACCTTTAACTGTGACAACCGCACATCAAAAACTTACCTCGGCTTTGATCCAAATCAACTTGATTGTAGCAAAGAACGACTATTTCCTTCTTTCCTCAGTAAGTTATCTTTATATATATATATTTTTTTCGCTATCGTACAAGATAAACATATAGGTCCGAAGTCTTGATAATTGTCATTATACATAGAATAAAAATAAACATATTTTAGCAGATGTGTGTATATATAAATATAATGTATCGTCTAAATAAGTAAATTATATAAATTGATATTGTGTTGAATATAAGCAAGCCTCTCGAGGACTAAAACCAACAACACAGCGGAAACGCTCATGTAGAAGCCAAAATGCGCACAACACCGGCCCTTGTAGTCGATTTACGACATTAACGTCTTTAGATTTGGTTCTTGAAGAGGCGTAGGGAGGAAATGTTGCGGAAGTGAATAGCAATAGCAGCAGAGGTCCGACAAAAGGACTTGCCGGACTGAAACGTTGACTGAAATTATGGTTCCGCAAATAGCACCCAATTGATATCGTTATATCAATGTTTTGTGTGTGTGTAAAACACACACACACAAACATTTGCATTGTGAGTGTTAAATCGAGTTTACATACATTTTATTTTTTAAAACAAAAGTGTCATGTAGCAATTGCAATTAAAAAATAATAATATTTAGTTACGCCAGATGTATTCTTATAATAAAAGTGACAAAATACTAACGTATATTTTGCTCCGTTATGTTGTACAGATAACATCCACAGTTATTTTAACCAGAACCGGAAGCTCCTCCTCCTCTGTTGTGCATGGCGCTGAGAGGTTCGGATTGATGCAAATGACTAAAACACAAAACACCGGGGAGAGTACCCGCTGCTGAAGACCAGGCAGCTCAGAGGGATCTATCTATTTGTTGAAGTCCAGGTGTTGTCGTGCAGGATAATATGGCAGCAAATACAGAACCCTCGGAGTCTTGGTACCTTGCTCTGCTGGGTTTTGCAGAACATTTTCGGACGTCGAGTCCTTCCAAGATCCGTCTCTGTGTGCACTGTCTGCAGGCTGTGTTCCAGTTCAAGCCGACAGCCAGGGTAGAGGCCCGGACTCACCTGCAGCTGGGCTCGGTGCTGTACCGACACACAAAGAACAGTGAGCTGGCCCAGACTCACCTGGAGAAAGCGGTGAGAGCAGCGGTTTTGGCCACGGACTGTGGTTGGAAACACTGTTCCAAGTTATGTTTATGTGATGATTCCTTGTTATGCACGTTGTGTCCACAGTACAGTAGACATAATCATCAGGCTCTGCTTGATCTGTGAAGAATTGAGAAAAAACTCTTGCGCAGTGCATATTCAGAAAAGAAAAAAAGCAAAAGTTAATTTAAATTTTCACCTCATTCACACAGATTTTTAGATCATTTTTAGAACATTATTAAAGTTATTAAAGAACTCATCAAGATGACAGACGACAGTATTATTAAAACCCTTTCACAGTCCTTGTTTTATACATTACACTGTTTTGATGTTGATGTTGATGAGAGTGTAACATCTATTCTTCCTATTCATTTCGCAGTGGTTCCTATCCCAACAAGTATCCTTTTTTTTATGAATGATTATGAAGAATGAGATATTTGTGTGTACATTTGTGCAGAATGTGTAAGCTCAGATTCCTGAAACATCTCTAGATGGTTCAGGACAGTATACGAGCATCACATCCAAAGAAAAAGTCCTTTATGATGTGCAACAGATCCCTCAGTTTGAAGATGTCAAGTTTGAAGCAGCGAGTATTTTATCGGAGTTCTACTGTCAACAGGTAGGTGGATGCAATAAAAAAGTGTAAAAATAACATATAATCTTTTTTCTGGTTTATTTTAATTGCATTTTAATTTATGGTGTGATGTGTAAAATGGTTTTCTTTTCCTTTGAAGAACCTGGTGGACTCGGCCAAACCAGTTTTGAGAAAGGCCATACAGATCTCTCAGCAGACTCCCTACTGGCACTGCAGACTTCTTTTTCAGCTGGCAGTAAGAGAAAATCACTATTTGAAATCTTAGTCACATTAAATAAATTTTCATGTGGAATTTGACTTCTTCCTAGCAATTACATGCACTGGAGAAGGACCTGGTGTCTGCATGTGATCTGCTCGGAGTGGGAGCAGAGTATGCAAGAGTCATGGGATCAGAATACACAAGGTAAACAAGGTCACATGTTCGTGTTGGGTTTTTTTTTTTCATTGTTCTGGTAGTGATGTTTCTTCTGTTTATTTATGTGTGATTCTCCACAGAGCTTTGTTTTTGTTAAGTAAAGGAATGGTAAGTATTGATATGTTTTTGTTTAAAAAAAAAAACATTTTTACAGAATACTTCTCGTGTTGTCTATTACAGTATGCATCTGTCTCTCTGCAGTTACTTCTGATGGAGCGGAAGCTTAGCGAGGTGCACCCTCTGCTCACACTGTGCGGCACCATCGTGGAGAATTGGCAGGGAAACCCTATCCAGAAGGAGTCCCTCAGGGTATTCTTCCTGGTGCTGCAGGTCACACACTACCTGGATGCTGGACAGGTAGTTACAGTACATCCATATTTAGGTTCCTTAAATCGATGTGGCATTGAGTTACTTCACTTAATTATGTGTGTGTTTTTTTTAAGGTAAAGAGTGTGAAGCCGTGTCTAAAGCAGCTGCAGCAGTGTATCCAGACCATCTCTACTCTCCACGATGATGAGATTCTTCCCACTAATCCGGCAGCTCTCTTTCACTGGCTGCCCAAAGAACATATGTGTGTGCTTGTGTACCTGGTGAGATGTTGATGAAAGCTCACATGATAGAAAGGTTTGATATATGTTTGTTGTGTAACAGAAGCTCAGCATGTGTTTTTTCTTTTTTTCTTTTTGTTAATACATCAAGGTCACGGTGATGCACTCGATGCAGGCAGGTTACTTGGAGAAAGCGCAGAAATACACAGACAAAGCTCTGATGCAGCTGGAGAAGCTGAAGAGTAAGTTCACTGCAGTCCGGCTGCATCTCCACTCCTACATCCTGTCTGCATGTTGTCCTTACATAGCCATCAATTATTAACTTCCACTGTTGGTGGCATCAGGTTGAATGTGAAATATAAGCGCCCAGTCATGTAGATCCACATTTCATGTGTGTGTTTGTTAAAGTGCTGGACAGCAATCCCATCCTCTCCACATTCCAAGTTATCCTGCTGGAGCACATTATCATGTGCCGACTCGTCACTGGACACAAGGCCATGGCCTTACAAGAGGTGAGTCACGAGTTATGGAAGAAAATCATGCATGAACTCGTTAATAACATTTTATTCGACATATTGGCTGTCTTTGTTTTTAAAATGTGTTGTTTTGTGCTATATATATATATATATTTTTAGATCTCCCAGATTTGCCAGCTTTGTCAGCAGTCTCCCAGATTATTTACAAATCACGCTGCTCAGCTTCATACACTGCTGGTGAGTCTCAGAGAGGGTGTGGAGAGTGAGCTAACAAAGAAGGAAAAAAAACAAGTTACTGACCATTCACACCCTTTTTCTCCTCATCGGTTCCAGGGCCTTTACTGTATCTCTGTGAACTGCATGGACAATGCTGAGGCTCAGTTCACTGCTGCTTTGCAGGTGAGTCTTTCACTTCCTTTTTTTTATCCCCACTTTTAAGACCCAGTATTGCGTTAACAAACACACACACAAGCGTATAAATAATGAAGAAGATGTAATGTTGCAAGGTTTATTATATTTTTCTATGTAAAAAAGAACTAATGATAATTCAATTCTCCTGACAGCTGACATCACACCAGGAACTGTGGACGTTCATAGTAACTAACCTGGCCAGTGTTTACATCCGGGAAGGTAACAGACACCAAGAGGTCAGTCAGCTGTTTCCCTTCTTCTGTAGGCAAATGCAGTACAGGGGTGGATATAGATTTGACTGTTTTTCGTTTCGACTCAACAGCTTTATAGTCTATTGGAGAGAATTAATCCCGATCACAATTTTCCTGTCAGGTAAGAATAGAAAAGAATGAAAACAAACAACTTACAATTATTTTAATTTAATTTTCCAAAGTACTGTCTGTGCTTTTCTCCAGTTCCCATTGTCTACGAGCAGCAGCCTTTTATATACGAGGTCTCCTGTCGTTTTTCCAGGGACGTTACAATGAGGCCAAGTAAGTGTGTTTCAGCAATGTTAAAAAAAAAAGTGCTGATGCCCTGTGTTTAAATTTAGCATACAAACAGTTGCATGTAAACTTGCATCATCAGGAGATTTTTAAGAGAGACGCTGAAGATGTCCAACGCTGAGGATCTAAACAGGCTGACGGCTTGTTCACTGGTCTTACTGGGCCACATTTTCTATGTCCTGGGTAACCACAGGGTAAGACCACACATCAGCAAATGAATTATTAATGTAGCCTCAAACGTTAATGACTTGAATGACTCTTGATTTTCCCCTTAATGCCACTGTATCATATCCAGGAAAGTAACAACATGGTGGTTCCTGCCATGCAACTCGCCAGTAAGATCCCAGATATGTCCGTGCAGCTCTGGTCGTCTGCACTTCTGAAAGGTACAACTGCTACGAACACCCAGTTTGATACATTTCCATGGCAGTAACAATGAATATTTGCACATTATCACATGAAAACACTACAGAAAGCCCAAAACGTTGCCGTTAACATTACGCTTTATATCACTTGTCTTCTCTATTGTACACACTTTGGCCACATGGGGGCGCAATAGGAAATCTTATGGAGTTGTCTTAAACGTACACAAAATCCTAGTTCGTAGTTGTGTTCTATCTTTAGTTTCATTTTGTTTGCTGACTGAAATACGTATCGTAGCTAACGTTTTTTAAATTGCGTAGATTTTTTCGTCTACCACGTAAATAGACTGTAAGTAACACCTGGATACATGTGTCAAGTGAGTGCCAAAAGGTTAGGAGTAGTTGCACATAATTAAAATAACAACTAAATAGATGGATGCATGGAAATAAAAAATTAAAAAATATTGTCTAACTGACCAAAGACAGATGGAAGTCAACTGCTGTCTTCACTTCCCCAGCAGATCTGAGCAAGGCCTGTGGAAACTCTATGGACGCCCACGAGGCAGCTCAGATGCACCAGAACTTTTCCCAGCAGCTCCTGCAGGACCACATCGCGGCCTGCAGCCTCCCCGAACACAACCTCATCAACGTACAGACAGTATCAGTCATCCATCTGCAAACAGTGAGTCACTTCAGCCAGCATAGAGAGTAATGTCATGCTGTTGTTGTTGTTGTTTCAGTGGACAGAAGGCCTGCCTCCTGTGCAGTTACAGCCCCAGAATGGACCGACCACCAGCCTGGCCAGCCTGCTCTGAGAACGACGTCGCAGCAGAGGAGCTGTTGTAGGAAATGAAGAAAGAAAAATCTAAAAACCATTAGTTTAATGCACAATATTTAAATGCCAAAAAACGGTTTTTAGCAAAGTGATCACTTTAAATGATAAAACATGTAAAATGCAACTTCTAAACATTTCTTCTTCATCAACACTAATAGCCTTCAGTCTTCCAACACCAGATGTGTAAATAATCTAAATCTAAAGTATCCGCTGTGACACGCACATTTTACTTCTTGGAATAGGACTCAATTTGTTCATTTAATCATTTACATTAAGATTCAACACTAAGAAAAACAAGCAGCTAGTTACACTTCCCATAAAATGAATTGACCAGAACTACTGATTTTTTTTGTTAAAGTAACACCCCAAAAGCACCTCCCCTTAACACTGTTCCATCCCTTTTTTGCAGTTCACTAAGGTTTACCGTCACATTTCACTGAGAAACCGAGAGAAAGAGAAGAAGGCAGAAAAACTAAATCAGAAACTGAGTCAGTGCACTGTGTCACTTGGCGAGCTTCCATTCACTGCGTTATTAAGGGCAGTGGAGCATCATGACTGGACTTGGACTAAATGGATGTTCGTACAGATTGTTGAAGGGTCATGGTCACACTGGTGGTACACTAGCACAGTTTGTTGTCACACCTTCAGACAAAAGAAATCTTGCTGGAATGAGATTAAACAGAACATACCTATTTGCTGTGTGGTGGAAGTGGTCAAGGTTCAAGGCTGACTGTTGAAGGATTATATGTTGAAGGGACTTTGTTGTAATTTAATGTAAAAAACCAACAGATATTTAACTATTGTAGTTGTTTTTAACTTTGACTTTGATGTAGGCATCAAAATAAGCATTGAAGGAGAATTTTAACTTTTTTTTACATTGTTGTGTGAGTGACTTCCTACTTTCAATAAAGCCAATAACCAATGGTGGAGTTTATGCTGCTATGCAACATAAACGAGTTGCTCAATAGGTTCAACTTTGTGCAATTTACTCATGATTTTAAAAACAAGACCTTGCTATGGAAGGACATGTTTCTAGAAACTGATTGTGTGTTGTACTTGCCATGATATTTCAAACAAAATAAAAGGCAAATGTGTGTCTTTATCGTTGTAACAGCCGGGTTGCTCAATAAAAAACGATGACACTGTAGTAATCTCTCGATCTCTCACTGGTATCTCTGCTGTGCATTTACACTATGTTTAAAAATGAACTGTTTCACAGGCAGTTTATTGCATGTGATCAATCACTGCGTTCAGACACGTGTAGTAGCTGTGAAGTAGCTGTTTAATAGTATTAGCTATTTTGGTGTCATAGTTTCTTATTGTGATGCTGCAAACACAAGTTGTTTGACCAGAAACTCTCTGCCCACTGTCCTCTGCTTTAAGCTAGACATTGGGTTATATATATATATATATATATATATATTTCACTCTGGTGTATGAAAAACATCTGTGAGATAGTATTACTTCAGTGAATATATATATATATATATATATATATATGCACACACACACAAGCAAAGGGTTATTTTTCATGTGAATTATTTTGTTATGATGCCTACACCTAATATGGAAATTGTACCTAATATTATACTGTAATAAATTAAACAGGCTCGATTATATATAGATCAATAATGCGTAGAAGAGTGAGACCCCCATGGCAACCCCCCTTAATTAGTCTATAAAAAGGTCATGATAACAAATGACTGTACAAAAACAACTTTTTCAACACCTTGTCTTATTTGCTCTTTTATGTCTTCATCTCTTTTGAGATCTCTTATCTCTCGATAACCCACGACTGCCTGGAAGCTTGAAGATCACTGAGCAGTGAGAACAAACTTTTGGGACGCTCTAGGTGTCTTGGGCGCAGCTGAACGGAGCCGTTTCCTGCCAAATAGTGAGCCCGTCTAATCGTGACTGCAGCAGCTACTTCCTGCATTGTTACAGTACTTAATGAGGATTAAGTTGAAGCTGTCATGTTGCGACGGGCGGCCATTAGACCTACTGCTCCTTCCATACGTAGAGAGGGAGGGAGGGAGAGAGAGAGAGTGCTGGACGGGGGAGGGACACTGACGAGGAGGGAGGGACACTCTACAGAAACTGACCTTACCTCAGGCTCTTTTAAGTGTCCCATACCAACCTACAGTGTTAAAAATACACTTAAATCTGAATTTAATCTTGTAAAATGTCAAATAATTCAAGTACATCATTTTAATGATCTAGTTTTTTTTTTTTTTTTTTTTTTGTTTTTTGTTTGTTTTTTGCCAGAACAGCAAGTTGTACAGTGTCCTTAATAGAAGGAGGATTACTAAGAGGACAAGTTGCAGAAGAGAAACATCAAGGACACGAGTTCAGTGTAGCTGAAATAAATATTAAACTCGGTCAGTGGTCCATACTTTATAGAAAGATGAAGAAGTACTTTGTTATTTTCATTAGGTTGTCACTTTAGAAAGGTGATAACAGGAAGATGGCCCCTTGGAATAGACATGATTGCATCTGTTGGAGATGGTCTGTTGCCTCTGGAGATGTGTTTGTGGGGATGAGTGAACAGAAACAATCAGATGTGATGACACAGCAGTCTACAGGGAGGGTTTTTGTCATTTAAGGAATAGTGGTGTAGGACTGACAGGACACTCACTGAGCTGCAGCGGTAGGACAATAATGACCTCTGATTGCTTCATACATCCTAAAGACTATTCAGTTGACAAGCAGCACTACAGAACCTGCAGACAACAACATCAAAGGAGTCAAAGGAGATGGTACGAAGGCCTCTGTTGAAGTCTCCAGATTGTTCTCTCATTTTTATATATATATATTTTTTTGGTTGGCCAAAGAAACCATGGGCAGAATTGAACATTTTTGGTTGGCCAAAGAAACCGTGGGCAAAATTGAAAAACTATAGCTAGTGGTGCTTCAATTGTTGTTTGAAGCAAACCAAATTCGGTGAGTAAGTACATTGAAAAACAAATATCTTGGAGTATTCTTCAAAATATATTTTTTAAATATAATCCTGTATTTTAACATCATCCGATAAAGGATTTCTCATTTTTCCTTTAAAGCTGATTGGTGTAGTCTTTAATATGTATTTATTTTGTCTTTACAGCGCATCTCTGGGAAATCAAAAAACACTGAATCATCAAAGGCATGTCATGGTGAGTCCTGGCATGAAGGACACCTGTGTGTTGTCTTATTTTATATCATCTTATCTTGACATATCTTGTCCAATCTCGTCTCTTTTTGTCTTATCTTACATTCTGTGTGCGTGCGTATGTGTATATTTAAGAGAGAGGATTAGAAGCTCTGCACAAGCGATGACAGTTGTGGTTATGAAAGAGACCGTAAGACTGTGCTGCTTCACCATGTCGTGTGCTCTGGGCTCATGGTCCTAACTGGCGTTGGAGGCCATGTTTATATAAGGTTTGTGTTACAGCTCTGCAGGAAGCCAGAGAAAAGTGCGGATGGGTTGTGATATATGATGCTGAGGCTGCAGGAAAATCCAGATGTGTCAGACAGCGGTTGAGGGGATAATATGATACCAAAGTTTACAGACTTTGCGTTTATGGTATATGAGACAGTGGCTCGACTAATTGATATTTTATATGCTGCCTTTCCTAGTGAGGCCCACTTTACCCATTGGGAGACCAAGGTTGAATTGAGTTTGGTACTAGATCACATACATAATGATGTCTCAAAGAAGGTGCATGAACCTCTGGTGTACTTTATGGCAGTTATGGGAGACATTTTTACTTCAGGTGCTGGTAACTATTTATAGAGTTATCCATGAAATAAACAGAAGTTCACTGTGGGTCTTTTTTTTAAAGACGCAGACTTATCATGAAAGAAATCAGGACAACCTGAATTTTAACATCATACGTCAGTGTTTTAAATTCCCTAACAACTTAGCAGGTGATTGTATTACAAAAACTAACACTGAGCAGCATTGAATCTCAGACTTCAGGGGCTCCCTGAGACAGGAGTTTAACAGTTAGCCAGCTGTGTTTAACTGGCTTGTACAGTTACAGCGTAACTACTGTCTTTTATTAACATTTTTATATAAAGTCATATTGGGTTATTTCCTTTATTTTATTTTTTTTTACCACATTTATTTTCAAACTGTGAGCAGTGTAATGATGTTTAATCAAACTCCTCTGAGGATGCACTTTATTGTCTGAGTGAGGAAGATCTGAATTATAAAAAAATCTCACAAAATAAATCCATATTAAATGAAGATTTATTTAAATAATAAAATAGTAATAGCAGTAGAATATACGCCACACGCTTTTGCTTGGTGAGCTAATTTAAAACATTTAAATAAATATTACATTTATACATTCTATACACAGTATATTTGATTTGGCACCGTTTTTACTCTCAGTACTCTTTGTGATGCTTCCATCGCCATGTCAACCAGTTGTTAGAACTTGGGACTGTATGTGGGTTTGAAACCCAGGACTTGCTGCATGAAAAAGTGCTGTGGTTTGCCTCTTAGCCATGGAGTTTGCATGTTCTCTTCATGAGTGGGTGGGTTTTCTCCCACAGTCCAAAACATCCAGACTAGTTTAAGTGGACACTCTAAACTGACCACAGGTACTGCATGAATGTGCATATGAATGGATGTTTGTCTCCACCGCTGGTGAACTGTCCAGGTGTTACCCCACGCTCAGCTTGGCTACAGCTCCCATCATGACCCTAAAAAGAAGAATGGTACAAGATAATGACAAATGCATCGTAACGTTTTAAACGTTTTTATATCGACAATGTACACGTAGAAGATGTCCTTGAGTTTAGGCAGCGTGGTCAGTTTGGGGTCACAAGACTTGTGTTAGTAAAAATGGTGGATGCTGATGAGTGCAGTGTGTGATGCTTTACAGTTTTATAGGTCATTGTCATAACTTGATGTGAGTGTGTGTGTGTGAGTGTGTGTGTTTGTGTGTGTCTGAGGGTACTGATGTGGTCATGGCTCTCCCGGTAGACCCCGGGGCCCCTGCCATTGTCGTCCTGCTTGAACCCTTGGTGGTCAGTGGCTCCACGACGTGATCCTGTCGCCCTGGTATGCCGAGGTGCGCATGCCCACTGGAGAGGACGCAGCGGCTCCATGTGTGTTGAGGCGCATTATTTGGCAACCGACGCGGCAGCGGGGAGGGCCGAAAAAAAGAGGATATCCCCTGGATTTCAAAAAAGCAACGATTTATCGAGGTTAACCTCGGACTAAACATTCCTTGGTCGACCATCGTTGAAGAAGGGGCGACAAAGCGACCGAGTAAGTTGACTGAGGTGAAGGCGAAGTTTTGTGTGAGTGGATTGAGGGGAGTCTTTTATTCGGACTCGTCGAGGAGCCAGGTCTTCCTCCACCTATCTGTGACGATAAAGAAGCTGATGGGCTGTTGAAAAGTAACACTTCTCCGCAGAGCCAAAGGTTGAGCACCGGGGTGGAGAGGAGGGGGTTCGCTTGCTCGAAATCGCTTTTATTTTCCTTTTGGAGAGAGTGCCAGCTGCTCATTGTGAGCTCGGGACTTGGTTTTGTGCGATAGAAGTGGGTTTAATGAGGTAAGGATTAAAACGTTACGTCGCCAGCGGCTCGTCGGGCGGCAGCTCCGCTCTGTCCGTGGGCCGGTGGCTGAAATTTCTGAGTTCTGACTCGAAGCTTGTTCTTCGGGAGGGGACACAGGTAAAGAGTCACAGTGAAGCCTCACAAAGATTCACTTTTCTTGACCAAAGCACAGTCAAACTTTGTGCCCGCGTTTCTAAGCAGCTGTTTGTCCCGCATCGGGGTGCAGCCAGGTCACGGATTCGGGCTCGGTTCTGGATTTAGTGGGACACGTTGACGAGCAGTGGTTCCGGCTGGAGTACTTTTACTACTTTAAGGTGAATTAAATCCCAGTTATCAGCTGTGGGTCATGACAGGGACTGCTTATGTAGGAGATGAAGTGGCTTCGTGTTTTCGTTTGTGAGTGGTGTAAAAAAAAAAAGCTAATGCTAACCCGCTAACTAATAACACGCTCACCTCCACTGAGGCGGCGTCAATAATAAAAAAGCCGGCTATGTGCACATGTACTGTGGGCAGGGTTTAGTATTTAAAGGGCTGAGTTTGCTTTGGATGCTGTGGTGGATGGTGCAGGGGTAATGGTGGCCACGGCTGCCCGCTTTAAGCCCCGCGGTGGTGGTGGCACCAGTGTTGGTTCTGCTATCTGGTAGCTAATCTTCCTACTTCTCTGTGTGACAACCGTAGTCTTCCTCCTCTTAAAGCTGAACACACACACATACATACACACACGAGCGTGTACACACCCCCACAAAGCTATACTTGGAAGGACTCTACAGTCACTTCCATCCATTCCCACAACTTCACGTCAAAACAGCCTAACTTGAGTTTTTTTTTTTCTGAAAATAAATACTATATGTTGACAATTATTGCATCTGCTGTTGAATTTGCGACACACAGTTTTAGTTTAAAAAAATTGATTTTAGAAAAAATTATATTCATTTAGCCTTCAACATCTGAATAAATTATTGATTGAACCATTTTGTACTAGTGCAACAAAGAAAAGTATTTGTCCATTTTGGTTGAATTTGATATGTATGGCTGCTACTTCCAATTATATTAATTGTTAATTGGATGCTAATTGCTTTTCTTGTAATCCTTTTGTCAATACAATACAGAAAGGGCTCAAATGTAAATCGGTGTCCATGGACTCGAAGAAAAACTTGACAGAGCATTGACTGAACACCTGAAATTTGTCAGATGTTGCAAAAGTAACTTTATTTGAAACAGAATCTGCGGCTGATTCTCTTTTGACTAGTGTCAGTCAGCAGTTTCCCCACTAGCATCTGGTTTTCATCTCATGTTCTTCATCTTCTCTTTAAAACTTGGTGCATCTTTTGTAAGTAACGGCCACATTCAATAGAGAAGAAAAAAAGGGAGACAAGCTAAAGACAACAAGTAAAAGTGGAGCAAAGATTTCCAAACAAATTGGGTATTTTTTGTTTATAGAAAATAATTGGCGTCATTAGTAGTATTAGTATTTTTTTGACATTTAGTAAGTTGTATCCCTTATTTTCTTCCACTCTAAATTATTTTATTAAACAAAGATTTTAATCAGACGCCATACGATTTTTGTGAAAGGGCTGCGCTTGGCACCAGGACCAGGCTATGACACATTGCGTAACACAATCAAACTAGTAACCGCTGAAATACAAATTTCCGCATTGAATTACTCCTACATATATATGTCATTTTGCTGTCTCCCTCCTACTTTTTGTCTGTCTTACTCAGAACAGTCTTCATATTCCTCATTTGTGTGTATATGCAAAGTTGGACTTAAGAGCCTTTTGATATTAATGGTTAAATGTGTCAAGGGGGCATTGCTGTTTATGATATGGTGACTAAACCACTGACTTCTGCTGTAAACGTTTATCTGTAAAGCGTTATTATTTTAAAGTGCGATTGTACTTTATCGTATACTGTTGGTAGTTGTAGTCTTTACAATAAACTTTTATATCCTGGATGTGCCACATAGCCATTTAACCAATTTGTGTGGTATGTCATTCATCTCTGTTTGTCTTTGTTTTTTGCCGTTGGTGCTTGAATTAATAGTCCAATGTTTGTTGCTGGTTTTCTGCTGACTGGTTACACAGTTTGGAGCTCATTGCTGTGGTTTGCAGCTCTTCTTTCTGTTAAATGTATAAAGTCCCTACCAGTAATTTTGAATGCATTCCAAAAATGGGAGATAAAATGCAGTCAGACTAGAGGAGCATATGAGGCCAGCTCTTAAACAGGCCTTTGTAGGCTGGAAGTCCATGATGGTGAAGAGGTTTGTCTTCAGGAGACTTTATTGCCTCTTTGTTATAATCTAGAATGATCACAGAGTTGTCAATGAGGACAAAGGCTTTGAAAGTGTTATTTGCATTGTAACAAGCCAGTGCATGGTTTTGTTGTCCATTAGCTGTCGCTGTGAACAATGTTCAGGGGTGTGCGTTTAGTGAGAGGGTTGTCCAGCACTAGTCAGTATAACTTAAGATGAGAATGCTTTCCTTGGCTTTACTGTAGCAACTGTCCATACAGATGGTGAAACAGCAGTGGTAAAAACCAGAGCCTGTAGTGAACATCGCACCCACGAGTGAGACAGACAGAAGGTTAAATGGGCGGCGATCA